AACAATATTTTAGGATCGGAAAGGAAAAATTACAGTCAAGCCTCTTCCCTTCCAACTACCTTGTTATGTCTGGAAATGCATGTGTCCACGTGAAATCGATGTGGGAGTCAGTTTTTGTGTAAGAAGAGGAATCTGAGCAATGGCAGGGAAGCAGAATTCTATTGATCGGAAGCACTGGTTACATAGGAAAGTTCATCGTGGAAGCGAACCTTTTCTTTTGGCGAGGGAATCCAGACTTTCAAACCCTGCAAAATCCTATCTTATTGACAAATTCAAAGGCCTCGGTGTCAATGTTGTTAAGGTAAGTTAATTGCATAAATCCTTAATCATTTTTCCATGGTTTTTGTTTTCCTACTAGACGATTAATTATGAAGAGTTTGACGTTATATTTTTATGTTCAGATCACCAAAGTTTGGTGAATGCCATAAAGCAAGTGGAGGTGGTGATCTCTACCGTAGGCCAATTCCAGCTAGCGGGCAAGATTAACATCATTTCTGCCAATAAAAGAAGCTGAAAATGTTAGGTATACTTCTTTCTTCTTCTTTTTCCTCGGTGTATAGTTTTAAATTTTCAAACGGAGCACAATTAACTCCTAAATATATTATATATTATTAAAATACAAACATAAATTCTATAACTGTCAGAACCAGTAAAATTCACGCACGTATCGTTTTAGTAGAATTCACGTGTCAAGAGGGAGGCTCGACACTCAGATGACGCACACCAGGTGTCAAGTAACGATGATCAGAATCAGATAGTGGAATGCAGGTATCAGCAGAGGAGCGGACGTTCGGTTTTAACAAAACTGGTTTTCTGAAAATCGCGTCACACTCTCTGCATGCATCTTCTTCTCCAAAATCTGATTTCTCAAATTCTCCTCCTTCTCTCTAAAAGCTCTCCCTTCTCTCTACCAAAACTCACCCCTTCTCTCTCCGATCACCGTTCAGGCACAGTAGAAGCACTTCCGGCGTCCAGAGCTTCAGATTGAACTGAACGGTTTTCGGGTTCTGAACTGGTAAGTTTTCTTCTCGTTAACCGTTCGTTATCTGGTACATGCACACCAAATTCTGGTTGCATAGTTTCGTCTTGTCTGAGACAGTGTGGGTTTTATTGGTTTTTGATTTAGTTTGAAGGATTGTTGTAGAAGGGATTGTAGTCAGGCGAACCGAAATTTCTGTCTCTAGGACGTACGTTCACGCTCAAGAGGAGGGAAGCTTATTAATTTAATTTATATGAATAGTGTTGCATGAACGTTCGTTGATTTGATGGATATGAAAAATGATTGTGTTTATGATGCATGAAATGTATGAAATTTCTATGATTGGATGGTATGAGATATGAAAAAAATTGATTATGGTATGAGGTATAAAAGGTGTGAAACTATATGTTAAAAACTGAATTTGAATAATAATGATCTGGTAAGAAATTCCACTAAGAAAGTGTACGTACGTTACTGAACGGTCCTTGACCGTTCGGTTTTCTAGTGAATTGGATTTGTAGTGGGTTCTTTCATTTGGAAAGAATCCGAGTTGATGACGAGTGTCTACACTTCGAAATACTGTGCTTGAGCGTTCGGCCAAGCATAGTTCTGTCTTGATATCCTGATATAAATTTAAGTATATATATACATATGAAATTGTATGTTTTAGTTATTCTTAAATACAACTCCAATAGTATCTTAGTATAATTATCAAACCTCTTTTCTATAAGTGTAGTAGCATCTGGTCTTATACCAGGTGTTCGTCCTAAGCAAGTGTATGTCTTACACCAAGCACTCGTTATCTCCTTAAGCTAAATTTTCTAATATGAGCGTTCGTTCAAGCTCTCTAGGGTTCGTTCACTATAGTGTTCAGTCTTTGACTGACATTTGAATTCTGATATTAAATTCCATTAAACTAAATGATGGCAACCCTTATGGACTTTCCATCTAAAGAAGTATCAACTTTACTCTAAGACCAAGAAAGGGAAGTTGAATAAAGGATTTAATATTTCTTTCTAAGTCTTAGAATGTTCTCTTAACTAAAACATTTACCTTGTTTTGTAGGTCCACTAATAAGAGTGGAAAACCATAGCCAATCAACCAAGAAGCTTGGTGAACTAAGGGAAGCAAAGGAGGTAAAGAAAGGAAGAAAGGAAGTGCTTTTTGGATTGGAAAAGCAAAGCTGATATACAACATACGGCCAACCAACCAAACCAGCGTTTCCACTTTCTTTTAAAGCATGTTTTCAATGTTTACCGTATGGAACATGTGGCCAGCTGTATAGCTTCTCTGCACACTCTTATAGAGCTTCATGTACATTGCTAATATGTCCAGTAGCTTGCTAGGCAAGTTTCTCTCATCTATAAAAGAGAAGCCAAATCACTTGTAAATGTAACTTGAGTTTGATAATGAATGCTGCTGAAATCCAGCCATTCTCTCAAGTTCATTGCTTAAAGCTATTTTAGCTTGTCTTCCTCTAGCTCCCTCCCGTTGGAAGGCCATCTGAGTTAGAACTCTACCTCACACACATCCCAAACACTGTCACGCATTCTGACAAACACCTTGCATGCGCCGAACTCCTTCAAACCATTCTTCATTCCGCTGCGTCATTCTGTCCAAGGAGCCGCTCCAGTCTTGAACGTGGAGGCTGCTTCCATCACTAAGTACTCACAAGTGTTCGATTTCTCCATGCGAATTATTCTAAGTATTAGTTTTGAATGCTCTGAAATATTCTTATTTATTGGTTTCACTCTAGAGTACTCGTTTTTGGTTTGGTCTTTTTGATGTTCAGATAAACTTTTCAAGAGTCAATTCATCTAATTGGCTCAGCATTGTAAATGACGTTCGTTCCATTCGGTTCTTGGAATTTATAATTGTGCTAGTTATCTTCCTCAACTCGATATCAAACCCTCGTTCTTAATCTAGTCCAAAATTTGAGATCTCGCGATTTCGCTCTACGTGTTTGGTCTCGTTATGAGTTCGGGTTGGACGTTCGTTATTTAGAATTCGTATGAATCTTTGTACGAAGTGGTTAAGTCAGATGATTTAAAGAAAAATGAAGATAATGAGATGTGGAAAGGTTGTAGTTTTTGGACGAGCGTTCCGGGGAGAAACGACTCATGCTTGAATACTGAAATTGGTAAAGTATGACTGTGGGCATGCTAAGCTGGTTGTTATCCTGATGTTCCGTGGGTACTCGTCTCACGTAGAGGAGGGTAGGTCATGTGTGGGAACGGCAGGAGGTCCTAGTCCTTAGGGGTTACTTTGGACAGATAGGGTTAACCTCGGGTGGCAGCGTGAGTGTATCCCAGTTACTACATCACCCGGGTGCACGAACGCCTGTAGCTACACAGATTTCATACAGTCCGGACAGTCAGTCTAATGATAGGCTTGTATGATGCGTATGATGAAAGTTATCTTGTGTGTTGGATTGTTTGAAATGTATGTTTAAGCATGATTAAATTACATAAGCTTACCCTGTGTTTCCTGCGTGTCTGTTTTGTACGTTCGTCTTGTCGTTGCAATGATCATCCGTGTGGATGTGAGCAGAAGGGGACGCGCTGTTGGAAGATACGCTAGAAGAAGAAAATTTGGTAGAAGTTGAAGTTAAGACCGAACCTTAGGACGTTCGGTCAGTAGAGTAGTTTTTGAAATGAGGCGGTCTTTCACCTCTTTCTCATCTTTGTATGTATGACCGTTCGGTATTTGACTTTTGTGAACCGTTCGGTCAGACTCGTACTTATGTATTGTTTAAATATAGTAACTCTTTCTGCAAGACCGTTCGGCCGAGACCGTACGTTCTTGTATAGTGTAAGACTGATATGAAATATTATCAAATGTAATTATTCTATTATATAGTTTATTGCTGTATTTTTGGGATGTTACAATATCGAATAAAAAAATAAGAAATATACGTAGATTTATATTCACATAAGACATTTTTATAGTAGGAAAATAATTTCTTGTTTTTATTAAGAATAGTATTGTTGAGCTTAACTTGATTTTGATATTGGATATTGTTGTAGAGAAAAATTCTTGCAACTTTATGATTATATATTCACTTTATCTTTTATTATTTTTAAAAAAAATAAATAATATAGGTTTAGAAAAAAGAATTTTATTACTAAAAATAAAAAGACTTTTATCTTCCTTTGAATGAACTGTTTTTTAAAGGGTATACAACTTGTTGAGTATATTGAATGGTACTACAGTGAACTCTGGAAATCTGATATAGAAAAAATCTATCTATATATATTTATATATATAATGCTTCTTACTATTTTTATATTCAATTTAATAATAGGATGTTACTCCTTATATATTCAATCAATCTATATGAATTTTGTTTTGTAAAAACATGGAAGTTATTTTTTCATCCTAAGAGGAATGGCTTTATCTTGATATGTGGATTGAACTGTTATAAGATTCCACGATTGCATAACTTGTCATTTGTCATATATTTCCCATTAATTAACACCACATTTTATCTCTCCTACCAAAGATATTTAACTTCAGATTTTTCAATAAATATATAAATATTTTAATATTAACAAAGAAAAAATTGGACGTCTTACTCAGATATTCTTAGCATGTAAATATCAGCCTGAGATATCGTGAAAAATACAAACTTTCACCATACATCACTGTCGTCATTTTCCTATGTCAGATTTGTTTCAATATTAAGACCATGTAACATAAAAATAAGATATTTATTTAGCCGTCAAAAGAAAAAATTAAATATCTTAAAATAAATTCTATTTATAGTATGCAAAACAAAAGAAAACAAACAAAAAAGTATGTTAATAAAGACAATAATTTATCTACATTTGTGATAGCCAATAGAGAAAACAAAAAAAAGAAAAAGACACAAGTAATCGATGTGGGACTGAATACTTAATACTTTATATTTGTATTGTAAGCAAAAAGAAACTTGAGCAATGGCAGGGAATAGCAGCAAGAGCAAGATTCTGTTCATCGGAGGCACTGGTTACACCGGAAAATTCCTGGTGGAGGCCAGTGCCAAAGCTGGCCACCCAACCTTCCTTTTGGTGAGGGAGTCGACTTTCTCCAACCCTGCAAAATCATCCCTCATTCACAACTTCCAAAGCCTTGGTGTCAACATTGTTTTCGTACGTTAACTAAACATTGTCTGCTATGCTTTCTTTTCTATTAGTTGACTGATATAAAAGATACTGCTTTATCTTATAATTACTTGCAGGGAGATTTATACGATTACCAAAGTTTGTTGAATGCAATAAAGCAGGTAGATGTGGTATTTTCTACCGTAGCACGCTCGCATCTAGCTGATCAAGATAACATCATTTCTGCAATAAAAGAAGCAGGAAATGTTAAGGTGTGCTTCTTTCTTTCTTTTTTTTTTCTCTTTTGGTGTATATATAGTTTTAATTTTTTGGAATTTTTTATGGATTTTTCTCTAACATTTAGCAATATGATGTTGTGTAGAAATTCTATCCATCTGAGTTTGGAAATGATGTGGATCGAAATCATGCAGTCGAACCGGCGACGATTGCATATGCAAAGAAGGCCAAAATTCGTCGAACTATTGAGGCTGAAGGAATTCCATACACTTATGTGTCATGTAACTTCTTTGATGGTCACTTCCTATCAACCTTGTCGCAACCTGGAGCTACAACTCCTCCTAGAGACAAAATTATCATCCTAGGAAATGGAAATCCCAAAGGTTTCAAACTAACAACGTAAACTTTATCAACATTTATACTTAGAATTTTACTTATAAACCTTGTTTTAAACTTTTACTTCTGTAACAGCTGTTTTCAATAAGGAAGAGGATGTTGCTACTTACACAATCAATTCAGTTGATGATCCAAGAACTTTGAACAAAATTCTCTACATTAGACCTCCGAATAACACGTTGTCGTTTAATGAACTTGTTACGCTTTGGGAGAAGAAGATTGGTAAAACTCTTGAAAGAATCTATGTTCCAGAAGAACAAGTACTAAAGCAGATCCAAGGTTAGTGAGAAACCGTCGTTCATGCTAGCTACGTGGTTGATTTAAAACTCTTAACTTTTTTATTTTATTTTATTTTTATTTTTATTTTTATTTTCAGAGTCTTCACCACCCTTGAATATTTTCTTGGCATTTAACCACGCTGCTTACGTAAAAGGTGACCATGCTAACTTTGAAATTGAGTCTTCTTTTGGAGTGGAAGCTTCAGCTTTATATCCTGATGTGAAATACACCACAGTGGATGAGTATCTTAATAACCTTGTATGAGATATGCAAGCAAGCTAAGTTGATATTATATTCTTGGTAAAACTTGGTAGCCTATTCAAATATAATGATATAATATCAATTTGTTGCTATCTATGTCATCGAAAAAGAATGATGTACCAAGAATCATGTGTTGTGTTGTACTGTTGCAATTTTATTATACATGTGTTTTTATCGGAATTTGTGTTGTAATAATGGTAGATTATTGAAAAAGAAAACGTCGTATTGCAACGGTCAAAACTTTAATTATCAATAACGTTTAAATTCAGTTTATTAAGTGCTCAAACGGTAAAATATTTAATGATTTTTATTGTCTTTTATTGATTTTATTCTTCTCTAACTCTATAAATAGAGAGTTCTTCCTTCTTTTCAAAAACACAGCAAAAGCGGTCTTCTCTCCTTTTTCTTTCTTCTTTTGTACTTCTAAAATTATTCTGGGTTTATTTTATACTATTTTTAGCTCTTATATATTATATCCTGGGGAACTTGCACAATACATTGCGGATATCCTGGGGGATCCTTTGTGGGATTGATCGGAGATGGAAGGAACCTATTGTCAACGTATATGCGAACTCTTGTCAAAAATGGAGAGAAGTCCATCTGTAAGGACTTCCACGGACACTCGAGTCACTGCAAAATTTACATGAGTAAAAACGATTATAAGAAAAGGTGTATCCCTCTAATAGTATGTAATTATAAGATTTTGAGTATTTTAGTATGTAAAAATTAATAAAAAATAAGATAAGTTTAAGTATAACAATAATTAATAGATATAATAATTAAATTCAGTTTATTATATACTTCTGCTTATATTATCATAAATATTATCTTTTTATTTTATTTTAAAAGTTTTAATATTTCATACTTATCTGCATTTGAATCTTATATTTATTTTATCATTTTAAATGTAATAATAATAATAATAATAATTTCTGATTGAGTAAGTACATCATCAATTTATTCATTTCACTATATTTTTATGTACTATTAAACTTAATCACACGTAATATAATCTATTAAACTAATCATTTATGTGATAGAACTTAATAGTGATGAATATATACGTCTCTTTAAGTTTGAGTATTATATATATATATATAT